GCACAGAACATTCCGGAAGATGTACCCTGGCTGTAATTTCGAGGGACTAAGTTGTAATTTTTTTTAACTTTGTTTTATGTAAATGGGACTTGTATTTATTGGAACAGCATACCATTAGAATTTTGTTTTATCTGGGAATAGTTAGTAGTTAAAGGGGAACTGTTTGTTAATAGTTCAGTTAATTTGTTCACTGTTAGAGTTAGATAAATAAATTGTTATTTGTTGATTATAGAGTGATTGTTAGGAGTTTATTTCATTTAACCTCCCCATTATAACTGATTGGGGGTGACGGATTGTAGGGTGAGGTGAGCATCTCTGGGCATTTCGGTTTTAGTTAATGGGGCGGAGTTGACCTCCACTTTACAACAAAGTACACGCAACCTATGTTCCACAGTGTAGTTGTGACGTCCAATCACAAAAAGAGGGCTCCTAATGAGCTTGAAAACTATTTATTATCAAACTGATGGCGACACATACACACAACTGCTTTGCACTTCCACTCAGTAATCAGAAGAAAACAGGCTGTGGGTCCTGAGAAATGTCTAGGAGAGGTTGTAGTTTTATTCAAGATGACAAAGCACATGAGGCTCAGCAACCACCATTTATATTGGCTCAATTAGTTTGCAAAAGATATTTGATTGAATTTTCATGCTACTCTAATGATGAATTGGGAATCTGAGAGCATGTGACCAAATCACAGAATTTATCTACAATGTGTATGCATTTCTCTGCAGAGGTGGAGCCACCAAGTGTTGTCAACTGACATGCATCTTAACCCAATGTGCCATCTGTTTCTCCCAGTAAAAATAACATTCAGAATGTTGAGTCTCAGATTTCTCTTGTTTCTCAGTATAATGTGACTTTATTGAACTCACAATATATTCTACAGTTGCACTTGCAATACAACACCCGTCACAGCATGATTCAGAGAGGTCCTCTCTTTTAAAAGCTTCTTTTTAGAAAGGTTGTTGGTCCTAAAAATATATAGAAACAAATGAACTTTCAGTCACAAAAAAAAACTGTACATTATAAAACAGTTTTCAACGGTAAAGGCGGTCATATAAAAGGGTGTTCCTTCACGTAAAAGGAATAAGGAATGCGTTCTTCCATATGCAGACCAGTTCAGCTTGTGTGACTGATCCTAATGACCTAATTTCCATGTTGACTCAAATTATTGTTTTTGAATATTGTTTTTTGATGGGTTTTGTCTGTGAAGGTTGGTAGTGTTTGGTAACGGGATATTTCCCTCCCTTCATTTGCTCCTCCCACTTTGTTTCATGAGTGTTGTGTACACCCAGAGATCAGCTGAAACAAAAGCTGCTGCTGGGTCATTGTGTAATAGAGAGAATGTGGAAGGTTGTGTGCATGAGAGAGAACAAGTGACTCTAGATGTGTATGTGCATGTGTGAGTATGAGAGAGAGAGAGATTGTAGATGAGTGTGTGTGAGAAAAAGAGAGAGAGTGTGGAATGGGTGGGTGTTTGTGTACACTGGTGGGTATGTGTGTACGTGCGTTATATTTCTATTCCTAAAAACACTAGTCGAGGACTGAACAGATCCCAAAGTGTTCAAATATGTTGACAGGTTCATCTGGGGGCCCAATTCACAACTGCCATTTTCACCAGCCCTCTCAAGCATGGAGTAATGCTTCTTGAATATTACTTGATATTTATTACATGTTCAACTTTCATCATTAGCTACATACACATATGGGAGTGACAGGCAAAGAAAGCATTTCTCGTACTCTTGTTAAAATTAGGCACTGTTTCTGGAGGACTTCTTCCTGTGTATACTCTCAGTCTACATTACCTGCTGTAGAGTGGGGTGGGATGGGATGGGATGGGACTTTAAATAAAGCTTCCATTGCAACTGAGCATGTTACAACAGAGACTGTTTGTAAAGTTTTAACATTTCAAATTATTTTGGCCTTTCTAGGGCTGTATCATACTGGTTAAAGTTCCCTCATCTACAAATAATTCAAATTCTGTGCTGTTTGTAACCACACTTATTTTGGGTGAAATTTGTGCTCATCAATTTGAGGGATGATAGTTCTAAAAAATGGAGACCTTTGCACGAATTCCTTTCATTCTGACCTCACAAAGAAAGAAAGAAATAATTATATCTTGCAGCATGTCTAAAAACGCATCCCTTCCTCAGTACCGCACAGAAGTCTCAATAACCTCTACCATCTTTCTAAATTTACTGCCAACCCCAACCTATTTCACTGGGAGATGTGGCACATTTCCAGTGAGATTCCAGCCTCAGGAACCTGCCAGTGTAAATTACAAGTTGAAGGGCACTTGGAATACCCCAACAACTGGAACCACCACAGATTTTAGTTGACATCAGGACCATTGGTTGATAAGTGTTTCAAATCAGAACAGAGGGAAAGGAGCCATTAAAGAGGCATGATCCATCCATCAGGGCTACCTCAAAGCTGTTACAGATATTTTCTGTGGTTTATCACCCCTTCCCATGGCACCTCTGGAAAGAAGAGGTAAGCAGATGGGAGTGAAATTTTCTGGAGACATGAGCCTCACTTCTGTTTGCATTCAATGGGTGGAAGGAGTGAGGTCCCAGCCGGGATGGTGAGCCGACAGTCCCAAAAGAATATTCCATTATTATTCCACTGAGAACTTGCTAGATTTCCAACTGGAACATGCAAGAGAGTCTCAGCCAATGCATTTTAGCCTAGCCTCAGAAGAATACTCCGTACTCTAGGCGAACTTTTCACAAACTATTATGTAGATCCTCCTGGTGAGATTACCAATTCTGTACTGTGAGCCTATGTCGTTTGGAAACTTGACTGAACCTATGGAAACTCATTTCTTTTGGATCTTACCAGCAAGTATCTTTGGGGTGGATTTACACATTAATCATGAGAAGTGAAAAGCTAAAAGTTGAGCAAACTGCATCCCTCCTGTAATCAGATGTATTTCTGTTGGAGAGACTTGATCTTTGATCTTAGCTATCAGACTGACTTGGCATTTAAAACATTTTTTTTAGCCTCAATACATCCATGTACAAACACAAACATGATCGTTTTTCCTTGTCTCCATCTTAAACCAGTGAAACGTTCAATCATCATCTATTGTTCAGAGTGTGTCAGACACAAGCATAATTCAGGTAGAATCTTAGAATTATTCATTTAAACATACCTACTCAAAAGCAGCAAGTGCAATCACATCTATTTTGTAATGTAAGCCAGGTGATGTTTAACCATCCGCCTGGAGCAGTCTGAAAAATCTGCCTGAAGTTTACTGCTCACATGCACCTCTTCCTTTTATTAAGTCTATTTCCTTCCCAATAACCTGTCAGTCACATGAAATTCGATGTGAATGCTGTGTTTGGAATGTAGCCACACTTCGAACTTTACTATGACCTATACTCTGAGGAGCACAAGAGGACCTGAATTTGTAAGTTTGGGGTGAGGGGGGGGGCATTGTAGTGAAAGTCAATAATATGGAGGCATGGGGGGGGGGGCATTGGGCATTGTAGTGAAAGACAATAACATGGATTTCAATATGACTCTACATTTCCAACTTTGAGCAAGAGCTGATATTCATAGTCATCCCTGGGGGGAAAAAAATTATTGCTATATTGCTGCAGATCATGGTTTGTAATTCTGTAACTATGTTCCAGGAACAGTTACGGTTGGCCCAAGATTTCAATAGAACTGGAATTACTAAGTGTCATTGTGCTGTCTGGGCTGGGAACTTATCACTCCAGATTTTTTCGTCGTTGTCTTTGCTCCCACCCACCCACCCCCCACCTCCCACCTCCCCCCCGCCCCCAAAAGTTCTGGAACTCAGTGCAAAATTAAGGAGCAATCATAAATAATATTATTTACTAAACACCACAAATATAAATAGATATTAGTGAAATCTGGACATGATGGGAAACTTTGTCCCTTGCAGCTCTTCGTACTAGTTATGTCACTTGTGGGTGATGTTGTCTGCCTCATTGCTGAGGCAGGTTGATGCAGGAAGAGAGGGTCAGAACAGAAGAAAGATTCACAAAATGTCTGGAATGCTGTTTTTAAGATGAATATTTCTGTGGCTACTCCTTTCCACAGAGGTGGAATGCTGCTGGTGTGACCTTGGGCAACATGACGTAAGAGTTAAACTGTGTATATGGCATGTAGCCCTTGGCTGTCACTATTGTTCCTCTTATTTGTCACCTCTATCAGCCCCTAGATTTACTTAAAGGAGAAAACCTTGTCCTGGCCAATTCAAAAGCCCACATATTTCAGACCAGACGAGTGCTGACCTGTAACATTCCTAAAACAGACACGTCACCACTGCCATGAGTCAGCACAGGAAACATTTCAATGGGGAAATAAATTACTCTCTGGGCTGAGTACTGAAACAATTTAGTGAAAGCTCAGATGTCACAGTGAGAGCATGAGAATGCAGGTTTAATTCCCACCTCTTGTGTTAGTGGATGAACATGTAACACAATTAACCTGTGCCTTTCCCAGTTTGAAATAGCTTGCCTCCAATTGTTCTCACCCCTTTTGAAATTAACGATGAAGTGCAGTAATTGTCAGCAAAATCTAATGGTATCAAGCAGTCTATAGAGCAACCCTTTTTGTGATGTCCATTCCCCACATATTCAACCTCGGCATCTAAAAGCTAAGACTGACACATTAAGGATAGGGTTTATTTTTAAATACTGTGGATTCACATCCACCATCGAGCCATATGAAACTGTCAAAACCTATTTCGTTTCCAGTCCTGAGCAGCCAACAGCCAGAGGTGGCTTTTAACAATTCACACCGAGCTCATATTGTACACAGAACTTCAGGAGGAACAATGTTCCTGGGCCTCATCTTGAACTCCATTGCCCCAATGTTCTGACGACTGTCTAGCTCGAATGGTAAAATTCAGCCCATCGACTCTCAAAGAATTTCCTCATTGTGTGTCCCGCTCGTCCGACTTCTGAGTCATCCTCATTAAAGGTCATGCAGTTATCGAACACCAGCGTAGTGTCTTCAGCAAACTCCTCGCAGCTCAAGTATCTGTTCAGAGAAATCATTTCAAAATATTTAGAGATTTTGAAAAAATAGTTCTCAGCAATCTCCACTGTTCTCTCTCTTCTACTGGTCAGTGCTGTGTATTTCACAGCTCAGTAAGCAAATCCACTATGTAGTATGCTACAGTGCCACACAGACCAGAAAAGTGCCAGCTTTAATCTCTGCTAACTCAGGTCAGTTAGCTGCAGCTTGAGAAACCAACTGGTTTTATAATCACTAAGCCAGGGAGGTAGGGAGAATGAGGTTTCTGACCAATGGGTCCCTGCTGAAATTTGGCTGTGTGTGTGCACCATGCCCGTGGAGCCACTGGTATGGACCTAACAGTGAGCAGATGAGGAACTGGCACCAAACACGACCATGTCCTCATCAGATGTCACACAAGCAATTTAGGGACAGCCAGTTGTATGATGATCTAGAGTGAGAACTGTGGCTGAATTTAACCCTTTGAGATAATGTGTAGTTGAATCCCATATTAAACTTTGAATTAAACAGCAATCTATAGACCCCAAGACAGTTTACTCATAGTTAATGTAATAAGTGTTGGTCACATCTGGTGAACAATGAAACAAAATCTTCTGGTGTGGTTTGGAGAGATTTAGGCCACATGTATCCCACTTGATAGGTCCCTCTCTCCTACAGAGGTTAAAAGAAGAGAAAACCTGCATTTATAAAGAGCTTTTGACGACCACCTGGCATCTCAAAGCACTTCACAGCCAATGAAATAAAAAGAACTGCGGATGCTGGATGAAGGGTTGTGATGAATGGTCACTGGATTTGAAATGTGTGCAGGAACACACAAAATGGACAAATGGATGTTGGCTCCCCTGTCTCTCCTGGTGTAAGCTGGCCACTCCCCCTCCCCCCACCCCCCTCAACCCCACCTTGCCAACTCCCCCCATTAGTGCACACAGAATGCGGTGGTGCCATCGGCACATGCATAGTTACTCCCTGAGGCCTGTCTTGTTGTGGCCAGTTGACATTATGGGCTGCATTTGTACAATGCGCAGTGGCCATTTTGGTGTTATGGATAATCATTGCACATTTTAAACTGTTGTAACATAGGAAGAGTGGAAGCCAAATTTTCACAAACAGACAAATAATTATTGATCAGGAGGCCAGGGAGAACTCATCTGCTTTTCTTTGAAATTGTGCCGTGGGACGTAAGGTTCACCAGAGCAGGAAGATGGGCCTTCATTTATCATCTCATTTGAAAGATAAGACCTATGTCAAGTGCAGCATTCCCACAGGACTTGATTTTTGGTGCTCACGTCCTGGAGTGAGACTTGAATCTAGAACTTTTGAGAGTCAGAGGCAAGTGTGCAAACAACTGAGCCAAGGCTGACGTATGAGAAGTGCATTAAAGCTTTCCATGTGGTCATTAAGAAGGTCCATGCCATCAGTGGTCATTAAAGCAGGAAATCCTCCTCCTCATTGATCATAATGATCTGGTCCAGTGTCAGTAGCTTCTGATCAACTCCCACCCACAAACATAAATGACAAAGCTTGAGGTTTCTTCCTGTTAAAACCCCCCACCCAGACTCCTTTATATTTGACTGTTTCTCCTTTTAACTTTCAACAATCGCTGAGAAAATGATACTTACTTCCCACTAATCAACTTTCTCCTGATGGTGGAAAAGTCCATGGGCCTTTTGATGATCTTCCTATAGCCAGGCACCAGCCTTGGGTTCACAGGATGAAGGAAGGGCCAGGCATCCTCATGGGCTTCCATTTCCATGAGGATAACCCTGTAGAGAACAATTCTCAGCATTAGACTTGAATCATGTATCAGGATTTTTGATGCAGGATTACAGCACGTGAAAATGAGGGGCAGGTCCAAGAGTCCCATCTCTTACCTTGGGATTTGGGGTTTAAGGGATGTCAGTCAGGAAGGAGTGGTTTCTCCATCTCTTGCCCCCAAGACAGACAGAAAGTCACACCATGCCTCAGTCACACATACAATGGTCAATTATAGAAAGATAGTGGCAGTTAATTCATGGTTTTGGTAGACTCTTTACAAAGGTCAGCACCTGAAATTATCAGATCAATCCTGATCTGTGCTGAATGCTGATCACAAATGATCGCAGTTATATATGGCCTCAGAGTTAAGAGGGGATGAATAAAAATCAGCCAGGGTTCCAACTGCTGACTGATGGAACTTGGTGATGATGCCTTCTATAGTTCAATCGACACTTGTTGTCTATATTCATGCATGAAGAATGACCACTAAAGTGAGGCAATAGAAGCTGTCTATTGTTGGGGAGTTGCAGGCCAGCGAGACACCTTTATGAGAGGAGAAAACTGGAAGAGGAAAATCAACATTCTTTCACTGACATCTCAGAACAGAAATACAGAATTAGTAAAAGCCAGCCGAAATTAAACAGCCTTATTCAGGGAACACACCCCTACTGGCTCTTACTCGCATAACATGAGGTCACTGGATTGGTCTCTGTTTGATATTTTCTTCCTCTTGGCAGCTGGAGATCCCCCTCGCAATGAACATTTTCTTCTGCGTTTCTTCATGTATTTTCTAGGACAGTGTGGGTCAAAATACTCAAAGTCATTGGTTTTGTTTTTGAAATGCCCCTTGCTCTTCTTTTTTTTGTTTTTCTCTGGGGCGCCCCACTCCTGACAGACTGATTGCTTGCCTGGAAAAAGAAACAAAGTTGGTCACAGTGCTCCCACAGCCCAGCTCCAGTGAGCAGCTGCAGAAATAGCCATGCACGTACCTGAACATGTTATCTGCTGGATAGTGCAGAGATGAGAATGGCACTGGTTACCTTGGCTGTTTGCACTTTACCTTTAAGTGCTCACAATATTAAAAGGTGTCTGAATGCCTTCTCAATCTGTGTTTTGTGTTATGGGGAGAGAAGTATCAAGTAGTTTCCCCCATAAAAATGGAACCCAGTGGGAAGGCTCAATAGCTGGGCTCAGACTGAAGGCAGTCTCAATCAAAAGTCAACTGAGTTCTTGTTAGTGTGAGTGTTTGCCTCAGCAGTACCAATTACTTCAGTTCTCCAACTACAAATATTTGAATACACTGGTGTGGCAGTTGGTGTACTGTTCAGAGGTCCCAGGTTTGGGAAGCTTGGGTTGAATTAATTGGAAGACAACTGTAAGGAAGAGCAATAATTATCCAGTATTCCCTCTCTTCCTCTCTTGTCCAATGGTTCCTATTGGAAAATTTGCATGTGATGCTTTGGGACAGGGAAAGGCCAGACGCAATACGGATTTTCTCTGGGGTCAAACAACCACTGACCCTCACTGTTCAGGTTCCTGATTGAAGAATGGGCATTTGACCAATGGACTGGAAATGACTTTTAGGAAGTGGGAGGAGGCTGAGAGAATCAGCAAGAAATTAACCCTTGGTGGGTACAGGAGCAAATTGCATTCCCTGGGCTGGGTGTGTGCACTGTGCTAGATACAACAGCAATTAGGGGTATTGTAATGTTATGTGTTTATGTTAGAAAGGATTTACTAAAAGACAGTATCTGACCCTGAGAACCAATTCAGAATCTCAATTCTGTCAAACCGTAAGCTCCTTACCGCGGTAGTGCACATCGGACAGAACCAGTCTACTCCCGCAATCCCAACAATCTTGGGCTTGAGGCAGTAGGTGTGGCATCCCTGATCACAATTATCGCACAGCAGCAAAAACTCATCTTTGTCTCCCTTTCCACAGATCTGACATGACTGTTAAATAAAGTCAGAAAAGAACACTGTTTAAATCCAGATGTGAATGTAAAATCAACAGAAAGCATCTGATTGGCTGGAGGCAGGTTGGAAGCTGTTTTAATGTTCCCTTCCCTGCCCCATCCTGTCAGAATCAGCACTCTGTATCCAAAATCAGAAGTCACACACAATTATACTTCAGTGAAGACTGAAAATAAAAAATGCTGGAAATCACAGTGGGTCAGGCGGCATCCATGGAGAGAGAGCAAGCTAATGTTTCGAATCTAGATGACTTTTCATCAGAGCTGGTTCAGAGAAGGTGTACTTCAGCCCACAGAAAAGGCAGGAACAGTGAATCCTGACTAAATGTACCCATTCCAACAACACAATGCTAGATTCCATTTCCTGCACCAGTCGCTTAGGTGACTGGGTGGGGAACATGGATTCACTGTTATTGGACAGTGATGGGACTCAGGCTCCCTATGAGTGCCTAGAGTGGTGGGTCTCATCATTAGCCAGAACTGGATGACAATTGAAGATTTTTCCCCTGAAGGGTGGCAGAGTGAGCAAGAAAATACATGTGATTTGTTGTTGGCACAGACCTGGGAAGAAGTTGCCAGCCGATGTGAATAAAAGATGCAAGTTAGAGGGACAGAGGTGGAGAGAACGCTAGAAGGGTTAGATGATATTGATGAGATTCTTGGACAACAGGGTAAATGGGCAGAGACCAAGGCACGGATGACACAGGAATAGACAGATAGAGTCATAGAGCTGTACAACATGGAAACAGATCCTTTGATCCAAGTCGTCCATGCCGCCCAGGTATCCTAGATAAATCTAGTCCCATTTGCCAGCATTTGGCCCATATCCCTCTAAACACTTCCTATTCATATACCCAACCAGATGTCTTTTAAATGTTGTAATTGTTCAATAGATCATCCCGAAGATTAACCATTTATTCCTACTGTTTTCTGTCTGTTAATTAATTCTCAATCCTTAACAAAATAATATCTATAAGCCTATGTGCTCTCATTTTTGTTTAGTAACCTCCTGTATGGAGTCTTATCAAAAGCCATTGGTTCTCCCTTATCTACGTTACAAGTAACATTCTCAAAATGTTCCGAGAGGTTTATCAAAAATTATTTCCCTTTCATAAATCCATGTCAACCCACCCAATCCTACCATTATTTTCTGAGCATGAAATGTTTACATTGACAGTTTCCATTTTAAATGCAGATATAAGAACTTAATGAGATAAATTTTAAAAAAAGCAAAGCTTTAATTGGGCTCGTAAGTGAGAAATGAATAGTGTGCATATGTCCTGGCCCAATTATCCTCCACTCTCTAATTCCTTAAACTCAATAATATACTCAACCTGAATTGCCAGGAGATTGACAGGTGTTATTTGGAATAAGTCAGGCATGTAGGAACTTGCTATTCAACCTGATAACTAAAAGGAAGAATATACATATTTGGGTGGTGGCTATAAAAATTGTAAACAGTGAAATGCCCAACATGGAATCCAAGTTAACCAGTCTGAAAAAGATAAGGTCAATCATATAACACTAATTGGGCGGTCCTTAAGCTTGGGTTTGAAAAAGATTGTAAATTAAGCGGATGGGGAAACTATGCACAATAATCTTTCCACCAAGGAAAACAAAGTGGAGAAGGCTTTCACTTACAAGATGTCAGCATAAGGCGGTTGGAAGCTCAGGTACAGTGCGAGATAGATGCAGAGTAAAAGTCTGCTGTACTCCCAAGTGTACCTTAACCAAAAATATTAAAACCAAACACTCCAAAACAATATACACAACATAAGCAATTCCTCATGTTCCATTTTATATGTTTAAGCAGGGAGACATTAAAGTATTATGTTTAGGTAAAGTCTCTTGTCAAATGACCCTGAACCTGTGGTTGTCATGAACAAAGTTCACAGGAAACCCAAATAGGTTGGCTTAACTGGAGTAAGAAATGGCAAAAATCTCTTGCCAGTCTAGCTCCGTGCATTAAACAAAATTACATTTTCATTGAGAGACACGTGCCAGAAAATGTCATTACATAGATCTGCGGTTTTCAACTGGTGTGTCATGAGAACTGGCCATGTGTGCTGTGAATAGTAATGAAAATCTATGTTAAACAATGCCACCAGATTGAGGACCATGAATAGTTAGAAATAGTTGAGCAGTAGATTTTGAAAATGTGTTTGTGCTCACAGTTGAAGACATTGTATTTTTGCCAGTGGATTTGAAACATTAATGCCTTTTTTATCTTGTTGTATGCACAATGTTATAAACCTCTCTAGTTTAACCATACATGCAAGTAAGTGTCAGAGTTAGTAAGGATTGCAAATGCTGGAGTCAGAGATAACACAGTATGGAGCTGGAGGAACAGAGCAGGCCAGGCAGCATCAGAGGA